TCGGGCCCGGGGACAGCAAGACACAGGGAGGGGACAGGATCAGGCCCAGGGGACACAAGAGGGTGACAGGATTGGGTGCAGGGGACAGCAGGACACAGCGAGGGGCAGGATCAGGCCCAGGGGAGAAAAGAGGGGTGACAGGATCGGGCCCGGGGACAGCAAGACACAGGGAGGGGACAGGATCGGGCCCAGGAACATGGGGACAAAAGGGGGGTGACAAAAGGGGACTGGAGGACACCAGGATGGGATAAGGGGACACGAGATGGCATCGGGGGACCCTGGGACATAATTGGGGGGGACATGGGACCGTTTTGGGGACCCCAGGATGTGACAAAAGGGGGGGACAACATCAGGACACCCCAAAACACCCCAAGAGAGCGTTGGGGGACCCCAGGATACCCAGAGGACCCCAGGATGTGACATGGGGACAGAGGACAGTGTTGGGGACCCCAGCAGTGGACATGGGACAGAGTTTTGGGGACCCCGACAGATGACGAAAGGGAACAAGGCAGTTTTGGGGTAACCCCAAGATGTGACAAAAGAGGGGGACAACATCAGGACACCCCAAAACACCGCAAGGAACAGAGCTGGGGGACCCCAGCATGTGACGTGGGGACACAGGACAGCGTCGGGGACACTGGGAGGGGACATGGGACAGTTTTGGGGACCCCAAGAGGTGAGAAAAGGGGACAAGGCAGTTTTGGGGTGACCCCAAGATGTGACAAGAGAAGAGGAAAACATCAGGACACCCCAAAACACCCCAAGGGACAGAGCTGGGGGACCCCAAGATACACAAAGGACGCCAGGACGTGGCATGGGGACGCAAGACAGTGCTGGAGACAGCGGGAGGGGACATGGGACAATTTTGGGTCCCCAGGAGGGGAGAAGAGACACTTTTGGAGACCCCAAGCTGTGACAAAAGGAGGGGACAACATCAGGACACCCCAAAACACCCCTAGGGTCAGCACTGGGGACCCCAAAACACAACGAAGGGACACAGGACAGGGTTGGGGACCCCACAAGGAGACATGGGACAGTTCTGGGGACCCCAGGAGATGCCAAAAGGGGACGTAGGAGAGTTTTGGGGTGACCCTAGGGTACCCCAACTTTGAACTCACCATCATGTGCAGATCCCGACAGCACTCAGCCAACCCAAAGCCATTTTCTTTTCCTCCCCAGCTCTGCAGGAGAAAAAAAAAAAAAAATCAAAAAATCCCGAAAAAAATCAACGAAAAGATGGGCAAACACCCCAAAAAAAAATTTGGGGGACCCCCCCGTTACCTCAGCCAGGTGCTGGAGGCGGGAGAGGAGGGGGCTGCGCTTGTCGGAGCCCAAGCGCGTGATATAATTCGAGCGTTTGCTGAAGACGTAGAGGAGGTTGAGCACCGCCAGCACCACTTGCATGTCGGACGAGGCCAGCAACGCCGTGAGATGCTGAGGACAAAAAAAACTCCATGAGATAATAAACCCTCCCCCCTGGGGACCCCCCCCTAAAATTGAGGTTAATTTTTGGCCTCGAGGGAGCTGTAGAGGTGACGGGAGAAGCTGTACTCGATGAGGAGGGCGGTGAAGTTGAGGAGCGCCAGGAGAAGGGCTTTGAGTTGCTCCCGTTCCGCCCGGTCGCAGCTCAGCAACCACGACATGTTTTCCACCGGCCGCCCGGCTTCCGCTAAAATCCCGTCGAA